AAAATTTTCGTTTGAAAGAAAATAACACAAACGTAAAGGCGTTTACGGCCTCAAAATAACACGTTACGCTGATGAGTGATGAAAACAATCACGCGCAAGTTTCTATCGAGAATGTTTTCATTCAACGGAAACGTTTTGAGGGCGCCGTCGAAAATGTGTGACGTCACACAAATATCCGATATTCTTATGAACGCTAATTCCGATATTCGAATGACGAGATATTCGAATACATTCGAATACTTTATTCGAATTGGCCATCCCTGATAACAGCACGTCGATATTGACAAACGACAGCCGGTCGCCGTCGTAAACACTTAAAACATATTATTAAATCACAATTATACTTTCCGAAAAGTAGATGAAATGTCTAAAACACTTGATCTCAAAAATACAAAATGCTGTCAACGCAAGTGAGTAGTGACAAAAATCTGTCATTTTCATGTAAGTCGTGTCCTCAAATATGCCTACATATTATCTATTGGTGTGTATACTATGAGGTGGAATAGGACAACTAGAATAAAAATGAAAGAATTATGCACTTTATTGAAATTACCATCAATTGCATATTATTTGAGAATACAGCAATGTTCTTAATTGGAAATAAATGCCACTCAGCTTTTAAAATGCTTGAAGACAAATAACAGCACGACAATGTAAATCCGAATAACAGCACTTCAAAATTGACAGACGATAGCCAGTCGAGGTCATAAACACTTAATAAAACTTGATATTAAATCACAATTATGCCAATTCGCCAGAATTTGCCAAAAAGTAAACCGAATGTCTGAAACGCTTGATCTCGAAAATACAAAGTGACGTCATTGCAAGACGAAAATCTGTCATTTTCATGTAAGTTATGTCTCCAAATATGCCTGCATGTTATCTATTGATGTGTATTATACCCGATAAACTAAGGCAACTGGAATAAAAATGAAAGAAGTATGCGCGTGATACAAATTACCATCAATACAGCGATTCCATAAATGTCACGGAGTGACATTTCAAACATTTAATCAATTTTACTGCATCAAGGTCTTTGTGGTTTGCTACTTTTAGAGTGTCAATTGGTAACAGTAACACTGATGTATTTACCATAATTCACTTTTCACTTTCAACCAAATATTTTTCAAACGATGAGACAAAACAAGTGTTGTCACTGAGTGACAAGAAGTTGAATGCATAAAATGACTGCGATAGATCAACCAAATTTCGTCAAAAGCTTCATGACATATCAGTTATAATAACTTGTCTCTCTTCTAGAGATATTATTCTCTACATTTATGCAAAATTTATTGTACAACAAACGTTTTTCAGGAAGCAGCCCAATTATACAGCACAACTAGTTGCATGTCACTCCAAAAATTCCTTATCATTAAAATGGTATTAAGAATGTTGAATAATTAGTTGTATTAGGTCAAAATTGGGTATTTGTTTGAAATTACAAAACTTTTAAACAAAAAATTAGGAAACATGATATTTTTTGTCGTTCTGCTTGTGTCTCCCTCAAATTAATATGCTAAACGATTGCACTAACTTTAATAATCTATAAAGTTAGGTGAAAAGCTATGTTGCACAGCCAACATGGAACATACATGACTATTCCACTCCTATATATTTGGAATCTTATTGCAATGACTTGAGTATGGGCAATTCAAAATACAGAATCTGGAGGATCCGTTAATCCAATTCAGTTTAAGCATCTTCGCAACATACGACAATTTTTGTAATTTGGTTTAGCATCTGCTTGCAAAGCACACATAGTAGCAGTAGGCCCCAAACACAGTATTCTTAGTCTGCATATTCAGAACAAGAAGAAAGTGATAGATATGTCACTGTGAAAACTCGTTATTGCATCATTTTTGCGCTTTTCAGCACTATGATATAGTTGGCACATGAAATTAATTATTGGTGAAAATGAGTGATGCACTGTCGTTTTCTAATTGGAACAATCTTCAATTTTTGACAACACATCATATTTCTCTTACATTTCATGATTTTTCGTATCCTATGAGTTAACCCGATAAATCGATATAAACCAAAATCCAGATGTCGATGTTAAAACTTGAGATTTGATATTGTCTGTGAATTATTTGAATTCACTTACGCCTTTTACCAAAATATTAAATTATAGGCTATTGCATTTTGCCATATTTATTCTGCCATTCCAACAGATTACATATTTTTCCAACTATAGATTTGTAGTTCAATAAATAGTCTTGCTGCACACTAACACAAATATATTTCTGTAACGTTTCGTCTGACCAAGGTCAAACATCCTCAGACATACATATTTCAGCTAAAGCAAGAACAGCAATTGCAAGCACATTTATACAATGGGTGCCATGGCAACAAAACAACATCATAACATTGTGAGTTTACGAACCCATGCAGGTTGTGATTGAAAAATTAATTATCAACACTAACATTAAATATTTAAAATTAAAAAACACATGAAAGTTTCATGCACATTAATAAAATGGGTATCATGGCAACATAACAAAATCACAACAATGGGATTTGAAAAATCAATAAATTAGTAATTGTATTTTATTTAACTGCACTAAAAAAAAAGAAATACATGAAAAAAAAAAAAAATTACGAAAATATACGGTGTATAAAATGTTCCTAAATGCCCTAAACTTCTTTAATGTTCATTCCCAATGGTTCATGCGTTCCAAGTAGGTGAATGAAATATGATTCTTTAGTTTTTCGGTAAATATGGTCTTGAAACAGCTTTTCAATTCCAATTACATTAAAGTCTCTTAGTGAATGTCCAGGTTGCTTAAAGTGAGCACCGACGACCAGGTCTCTGTTTTTTGATTTTATACTTCTAATGTGTTCTAAAGTACGATATTTCAGATTTGTAGTCTACAATAAGTTCATTCATATTGTCCAAAATAGGCACATGTTAGGTCAAATATTTTGGTCACCGATAGTTTTAAAAAAGTTGCCATTGCCATTCAAATATGTCATTCAAGTTTCCTTGTGGGTAAGATCCAAAGTAAGTGGAGGGCAAAGCGGAAGAATTTGTATTTCAAACCCAATATTATAGTACTTCGCGTACAGAAAAATAATATTTTTAATAAATGGCAGACTTTTGTTACTCCGTGACGTCACGGAGTGAGAAGATTTTTCGAAGTGCTGCGAAAGAACAACAAGCAACTATCAACTGCCAAATTGGTAAATTATTGGGCCCAACCCCCAAAGTGATGTCTCAGATTTTGAGGCAAATAGTTATTGAAATAAATCAGATAATTAAAATAAAGTTGAAAAATTGTCACGGAGTGACAACACAGGGCAAATTCCCATCAGCTCTGTTTAGCCCAGTGTTGCCAATAGTGCACGATGCAATATTTATATTAAGCACAGATATCAGAAGTAAAACTTAACACATACTTTGGTTGAACAAATTCATTTTAAGGTAACATAAATAGCATGAGAGTTCATGTTACAAAACTGAAGAAAATTAGGCAGAAAACCATCAAGTATTCCGCTGAAGAAAAAACAATTATTTTGAGCCATATCTGTAACTTCTCATGCGATTTCAAAAACTTCAAGATATGTCCTACATTTTCTGCAGTTTAATATTTCAATAAGGCAAGATATAATTTTTACCAAATTTTCAACTATCTTATAGAATTGCTGAATAGCATATTATTTGAGAACACTTACAAATACTTGGGTATACACATTGATAGTCAGTTTAAATGGGCAACACATATTAACTACATTGCTGGCAAGCTAGCTAGAACAGAAAGAATAATATTTGAACTTGAAAAATTCGTCATCCTATCAGTTATTCGATTGGTGTATTTTTCCCTCTTTTAATTAATCATATCTCAGTATGGCATCCTCTACCCTACTTAGCAGATTCGAGATGTTGCAAAAGAAATCGATTGGAGCTGCCGCTGACGCACCTTTACAATCCCAACTTGACATATTAAACCATAGATTTAAAATAATGAAACTTTGTTAGTCCATGAATTTGACACATTTATATCCGCAGATTGCCATAGTATTTTAGAGAAGTAGGCTAATGCTTTTATTTTTTCATCAATGCAATCGTGTGTTAACTTGAACAGAATTAAATAAATATGGCAGGGCACTTCAAACTTCGGTATTGGTCATGGATTGAATATCATGCGCAACAGAAATCATCATCTGAAAAAATCGATTCCTTTAATTATTATTATCAAAATCATTTGCCAAAAATCGGGAAAAAGTATAAATTGTTTTTTTCCTAACCTTTGGAATAAATCAAATTTTTTCGACATGCAGCAATTTATTAGGTTTCGTAACAAAGCGTATGTACACAACTTATCTAATATCTAACCCTGGTTGGATTTATGCGAGATGCATGAACCATAACCATGTTCAATATTAATCCCCATTAATTTGACCAATAGTTTTTGGGAAATATACAGAACTGTGTCCATTTAATAACACGCTCCATTTAAAAGTACACAATATTTCATTAAATTTTGATTTCACTATTGTTCGCGAAGTACAGGACCGATAGTGAGGCACAGGATTGTCTGGAGTAAACTCTTTGCAGTACGGCTGACTAAGGTTTGGTTCTTATTGCAGCTCTAAATAATTCTCAATTGCCAAAGATTGTCACAACAATATGCGCCGTGCGTTCGCATAGAAGATAACTAACAATCAAAGTGCCGATTTTGTCATCATAATAACATGTGACAAAGCAGATATAATCCTTTGAAGATTTTCCTCGAAAACGAAAACCATTGCTAATGGTGGAAAGTATTTATTATTCAGGAATAATCTCAAATTAGCTAAAAAGTATTTGAATACTTCGGTATTTGAATATATCCGGATACAGTATGAAATGAGCAGTTTTTATTGCATTCTAGAACAGTTAGAAAGTTTATCACCTCTACATAAAAGTTTGTTAGACAGAGATATGTTACTGTATTTTTGACATTGTATTTTTGCTTACTTGGATTACCTTAATTGACTCTCGTCTAACAAAATTTTCACAGGGTCATCTTGGTGATATTTCCCTCACACCACGTTCATTGCAGTTTTTACTTCTTGAAACCCTAGACGAACGGATGGAATTTGTAGCGCACCACAAATCAACTCCTCTTAAAAGGCAAACCGTAATAACCTGCCTCAGTACCATGAAAAAATCTGTGCCAGAAGATGATGCCATATCGTGTGTCGTTGTTGCAACCGAAAGTAAAGAGGTGTGAAACTGAGTCATGTTCCTTTTAAATTAGTTATGAATCTAGTGGTTGTTGTGCTCGTTGGTGCTGCTCCTTAAAAATGAGAGGGGATTCCAAATCAAAATCATGCTACTGATTACAATATTGACTAGATTTCTATGTTCACTGACAGAAACAATAGTTTTATTCGTGTATATATTACTTGGTATCTTTGATGGAATAATAATGGAATAAAAACATAATATTAAATTAGCCTTTACCCCACACTGCATCAAAGACATATTTGATACATGACCTCTTCTTATTGAACTTATTCAGATATATATTTTGGACTCAGAGGCATTCAGTATACTTCAGAAGAATCATCTCCCTGATACACCTGCTTTCATAAACACTTCTGGGTTATATGATGTTGACTTTAGAATTTTTGTTGCATGTCGTACTGGAAAAGTTTACATTGTGAAAAAGGACCAAGAAACTGTTTATTTATGTTTAGAACTTCAATCCCAGGTGGGAAATCTGATAGATAAAAATTTGATGATCATCTATTTGAAACTGTTAAACTGTTTTATACCTATAATTTAGCCAGTCAGCACTATGCTCTAGTGCAGGGGTGGCCAACTCGAGACTCGCGAGCTCATAGTCGGTGTAATGCGGCTCTTTTCGGATTGCTTATTATAAGGAAAAAATAACTTGCACACTACAATTCATCATTTTTCCATTAAACATACTATTATGATTTATTTGGCATTCTTTTGCGTCGAAGATATACATGAACGGCTTCATTCACTTCAGCATGCAATTGATTATTATTACGTCACAATCAGATTCTTTGTTGTGCGCCACGCTTATTGCACTACAACGGCTGTCGTAATCATTTTGAAAACGAAGTTCGGCGACAAACGCGCATTCTATTGAAGTAATTGAAGTGCAGATAAACTGTCATAGACGTCGTCGACAATTGATTTAATTCTGAGACAGATCGTTTGAAATTCCCTCTAGTCTCATCTCAGATAAGGTGATATCTTAAAAAAGGAGACCAACTGAAATACGCTTTAACCTTTTCCGTGCGGTGGGCACGTATACGTACCAACGACAAAAGTCGCTAGATTGCGGCGGGTACGTTGATGTACTCCACTGTTTTATTTAGCAATCGGTCGCAAACTGTTGGTCTAGTTTTTTCGGGTTTTAGTTTATTGATAAGAAGTCTTCTTCGATATTAACATAAGCGACGGTAAATCTCGCTTCCGCTCACGACGGGAATTTTATTTGCGGCGGAACGAGGGAGTGTTTTTGAAATTTATGCAAATTTCGGTGTTTTTTGAGTGATAATAGAAGACATATTATCCCTTCCATCTACCAAAGTATTTTGAGTTAGATCACGAAATTGCTACAGCAATATTATGCTATTGTTTGCCAACCACGAAGCGGTAACAGTAAAGGATTTAGCGAATATTTCTATTTTTTATCACGGTTTGTAGTTTCAACTCCCAAGAAAAAAAAATGCCTTTTTTCTATCCGGTTTGTGACTCAGACCACCACTTTTAAAAAAACATATTTTTTTAATCATATTTGAAAAAAACATATTTTTTTAATCGCCAATTGCAAGCTCTTTAAATAAGCTTTCCAACGAGCCGTCAGTGGGCAGCAGAGGTTCATTAGTTTTTCGTTAGTCGATCGATTAGTTGTGGGGGTACAAATGCATAAAATCGGCGTAGCAAATACGATTATTTAATAAAAAATAAAAATCGCATGGAAAGGGTTAACAAGGGAAGGGACCATTGGGTTATAGAAAAAAATGCAGATGAAATGATATCCTAATATCAAATGATCATGTTGGTTAGTGACATTTGCAATAAACTAGCATTCTAGCAGAGCTGAATAAAGGTCTATCTGGTTACACATTCAGGTTACACATTCCTGGTTAAAACCCCATCCCACTACCAGTGTTCACTCTCAGGAATTCATGAGTGCGATGGTGCCTCCCGAGTAAAAAAAAGTGAGGAAGTGCCCTTGCAGATTTCAACAAGTGATGTGCCTCACTTAACGTTTCCACTTTTTTAAATGCCATAGCTACTCGAAAAAGCGCTCTCGCGTAACTGGTTTCCCTATATGTCCCTTGCCTTTAATTTTCATGGTAAACAAAATCATTTATAGTCGAAAATAGTAAACACGTCACATTTTGATTGCTGTTGTGGTATGATGATATGATCATCAAACATACCCCTGAATTTGCAACCTCCGTAAATGCAATTTTGACTTTTTCGTAGTCTATTTTAGGTATTATAATAGTTGTGGACTTGTGTTATCATTTTGCTTGAATTTCACACAAGAAAACTAACTACCGGTATATAAACGCCCCTCTCTTGGGTCACAATCGTCTATTCCAGTGGCCGGCACCCTTTTTTAAGTGACGGACCGGTATATCCTGATCTAATTTTTGGCGGACCACCTTTATACAAATGGACTAAGCCTATGTAATAAATAAAGTAAATGCGTTTGGAAATTTACGTTGAAATTTATTCAAAAACAAAGGTGATTCTATGTAATGCGATATCTCCATATTGTTTGCCGGCCATTAGCAGTTTCCAACTTGTAGACATGGTCGACAGTGATATATGTAATGTCGTAGTGTTTCTTACATCCAGCCTACTTTGATATTTCGTTTTTGTGGTTGTCAATATTGAAAACTCGGCCTCGAATAAATACGATATTGTGAAAGGTAACAGATTCTGGATCTATATCTGGGTATTGCTCGATTTTCGTTTAGTAATAACTAATGAGTTGTTCTTGTCCGATGCTGTTTTTAGTCGTAGGGTTTGTGGTTGGATTGTAGAGGTGTTATTAGGCCCTTGTTCGTTTTTGAGTCACCTTTCTACGAACCGGTAGTAACCTTTACGCAGACCAGCGATGGGCAGAAAGTAGAACACCCATTTTTAAAAATGCTCCTAAGGGAGGCTACGACGTCTCTTTAAGTTTTTATATTTTCAGTCAGATATATTTGCACCAGCAAATTCAGCTCTTTGGTCATGTGTCGGCCTCGTTTTCAAACATCTGGTCAAGGTGATCAAGTGTTTTTGCGGAGAAGTAGTTTACAACCCTTGTATTATTAACGCAACACTGTATTATAAATACTTTTTTTGCAGTTATTGCGATATCTATTAGATGGGATTATCTCCCTTTCTGCTCCACATATCTTATGATTTCCACAAAATATCATCATGTAAATGCAAAATTGCTTTTAAAAAGTACTCGCAAGTACTATTTGTCAACTTGAAATTTTAAAAACAAAAAATGCAGATTTTCAAAAATACAAAAAATGGCGTTTTCGTAGTCTTTCGTACAAAATTGCTTTGCAGTTTTTGCACCACCCAATTCATGGTGTAATAAATTGCATAGGCAACAACGGTGCAGAATGTCTTGGTTTTTATTGCATCACTACCCATCACTTTCTTATTCCTTCTTTATTATCCAATTTATTTATCATTACTGTATATGTACATGGATGAAGCCACATTAGGCTATTCATAATATTAGGAAAATAAAATTGGAATAACATTTCGGGTTCTGGACTCAATTTATTAAGTATTTTAGTTTGGCAGTCGAAAATTGACTTCATTTTCTTTCTGTGACATTGTAAGAAACAGAATATTGATCAAACAATGATTATCTCAACTATGGAGCATCAATAAATGTAATTTTTATTAGCTAAGAATGATTTTTGTAAATTTCCTTATTGAAAATGACTATATTGAGCAGTGGTTCTCAACCTTTTTCAGTTCAACGTACTGGTAAAATTTCAAAATAATTTTTGCGGACCGGCAGACCTTCAAAATTAACCAAAAATGTCATGAACACAAAACATAAAGGAATGCAATCAGGACAAAAGTAGGCGGTGCAGAAAAGGACAATCCAATTAAATGCTGTTAAAATCCCGAGATTTTTAAGGCTTTGGTATCCACATATAGATATTTCACAAATTGTAGGTTATACCATTTTATTTACCAGGTAATACCGTACTTTTTTGAAAAAAAGCCATCCATGCTTACAGTTTGAGTCAGTCACACTAGTGGAATTATTGTGCGAAATTTTAACAAGGAATCATTTTTTGACTACCAGAATTGCCATTATTGCCGACTTATTTTATCATAATTTGAACTCAAAATAGCATTCAGGATTCACTCACTGACTTTGCAGGGTTTTTATTCACTATTTAATATGGAAATAAAACAGCCGCAATAGAAAAGTAAAATAAAGAAGGTCAACTATCGTCTTCAAAAATATCCACATTCCGGCGTCAGAGATGATATTTTCAGCTTAAAATTAAGATAGTTAATTTACAAACGGTGACAAAAATATCCGAACCAACCCAAAAGATAAAAATCGAAATAAAATCCCGATTCGAAAATTCGAAAATTCGTTAAAATTATTCGATTCGATGAAAATATACTATTTTGCCCACCCGATCTGTAATCACGCCAGCACTCTGGCGAAACGCGTGGTAGTCCAAACACTGATGCAATGAAACTTAATAAAACCTTCACAAATTTAGTAAATTGCACTACTTCACGAAAGCGTGGTGGATTTGACGATTATTTCATATCCGACTCGAACACAAAAACAGTTATCTTTTTCGGATAGTTTCTGCAGTTTGAAAAGTCGAAAAAAGCGTTTCGAAATAGTAAATGCTATGATCTGCTATGCCATCAAATTATGCTCGGGCCTTGCACGAAATTCAAAACGTGAAAAGATCCTCCAGCGGTGAAAATTATTTATAACAACTTTAAACCCATAAAATTTTTTAGCGATAATAATTAATTGTTGTAATGAAATACAGTTTGTTTGCCTCCTTCATTTCCTCACACTATTGAAAGATTTTGGAAATGGGAGAAAAAATTGAATTGTAACAAAAAAAATTGAGTCGTGAAAAAGTGATAATAAATAATAAGGAGCAAAACCTAAGCGCATGATCGGCGGCTCGTTTGAATACCACATATTACCCATGCGGCCGCGCAACGTTTACAATAGTGTGAGGTGCTCCGAAGACGCTCTCGTTTACATTAATGCAAGAAAACAGTTATCGGTAACTATTAACCATTTGTTCGCGTTTGACTATTGCACTCTTTAGGAGTAGAAAATGTTCGTGTTTTGGGATAGGTGTGCCACGAATATTTAAATAACTAAATAGTGTGCCGCGATATAAAAAGAAGTTAGGAACCACTTACCACTGCCCTAGCGGCTCTAATATTTCTGTGTTAATATTACTTGAAATAAATATGTGATTCAATTGTCATGCAAGTTGTTTTAATCTTTTACTCAATCCCGAAAAATCCCGGGATTATACGGCTCAATACGCGGATTTCAAAAACTATGTGCTATCAAACTCCTCAGATATGAGGTCATGGACTTAACAAACATCCAGCCAGTCAGGGCTTAAAATGGGCAGAGGACCTCTCACCAAGTTTGGTTGTTAGGCGAATATCGGTACTATAACAGTTAAAAAATCATGAAATCAATGGACGTCAATACCTTGTATTTTGCAATTTGCTTATAATATATTTATATTGGAATATATTTGGGAGACCGGCGGTTGAAAACCACTGATTTAGAGTACGGTGCATCATTTGATTTTGACAATATTGAACTACGTACTCGTTTTCATGTCATACCAGTCTCAGTAGCTGCCCACACAAGCAAACTATTCAATAATTTCTTCAAATTACATTCACCTAATTTGCAACTTTATATCCTCTGAAATTTTTTCGTTATTTTAGATTGTTGGAATGGAAAGAGTTCATAAACATTTAATTATAGTGTGCATGGATAATACCCTTTCGTGCTATACAGGCAAAGTAAGTAGAATCGTTTTATATTGTAAACTTAGATATAAATACCAGTAAGTGGAAATTTGAGTTCTGAAAGTTATGTTCCCATTATTGCATTCTAAGGTGTTTTTTATTGCCAAAGTTTGATAACACATTGATAATTGTTAATAATTGTATGTAAGTGGCAGATTTCTGACCAATCAAGAGGTTCAGTAGCGGGACCTGATTTCATCATTTCATTTCAGTTTCACCAGATCTTAAATTGAATAGGGCTTTTTTGAATGACATTTTTGAAATATTTTGATCTTCATTAATTTTCTGTGGGGTTATATGCTGGTTTATTAAGCATAAGCCACTTATGAGGTATAATGCATTTTTTGTAAATCAATTTCACTGTCTCATTATATTCATAACAGATATGACCTGGCTGTTAACTGTTTTTGAACGTTTCATGTCATGCTCCCAGTTAATTCATTGGAGGTTGTTGAGGGCCGTGGGGTTGATACACTTGTCTTTTATTTGTATATCTCTTGTTTTAAAATGCTTCCTACCCCTGAGCCAAAACCTAATTGATTTCAGGGTAAACGACTATGGAGAAAATATTTAACAACAAATGCTGTTTGTACCTGTCTTATGGATCATAACAGTAAAGGGTTTAAAGCTGTTCTTGTGGCACTTGAAAATGGAGAAGTACAGGTAAATATCTACCATTCTATGTGGGTGTTCACATTTCACGTTATGTTCACTTGCAGATAATACCTCGGGGTTGTTTCAGCATTACTCATAGTCACAGGTATATTCTTTTTTTTTAAAGTTAAATTAAATACAGGCAAGTAGTAGGATGAAATTTTTGAAACCAGATCATACAGTTGTAACTTGATTCTGTAATTTCCATTTTCTCTGTATATTTGATGATTTCCCCTATAAACATGTTAGAAATATGACAGCTCTAGTTTGACAATGGGATATTTGGATATATTTGTAGTCAACCTACGGTAATTTCATCATACCGATGATGAACAATTTTGCAATCTATTGGCGACCGCAATAATGGTTATTAGGGCTGTCCAAAATCGAATATTTTTTTGATTCGAATCAAACCGAATATTTTTCTCGAATCGAACCGAATAATCGAATATTATTGCGCAATCCTAAATTTGTCTCTAATGTACAATAAAAACTTCCTCTTCAATATTGTGATAACGTATGTGCAGTTATATCTAAATTATTCCAGAGTCATAAAAGGAGATCACAAGCCTCCCTGAACTGGTCAGAAAAATTAGGGTTTTGAAAACTATCAAGTTTTAAGAGTTGGAAATTGCACAGACTCTTTTGATGCCCGTAGTTGCTATTTTATAGATAATTAACTCAATATTTTTTATGTTATTTTCAGTAAAATGATAAACAACTATTAACATAGAATTATAGATATAACTGTTGCCCAAAAAATTCAAAATTGCATTTCGGGAACTCACAATTTCAGAGCTAGTTTGATGACATTAATATTTGATGACCATATTGTTGCTGTACAACAGCCATCAACTCACGAGAGTGCCATTATTTGTCATAGTAATAAATGGATGAAACAAAGTATTGCCATTGGAAGAAATTACAAATTCTATTGGAAAAAGGTATTAGACCCCCTAGACGTGTTTCAGTCCTGTACCATGTTCCTATGATTACTGACTCAACTGCTACAAATCAATTCTATTTATAGAACTGGCGTTTTTTGCTGACACAAAATTTGCTTTTTTTCTCCTTGTGTTTTCTCACAAAACCTCATCATTAAATCATTGTTACCGAACTTTTCATTTATGACCATGCATGAAATGGATAATTACATGTCACCGGGCAATAGGAGAGACCTTTTTACAGCAAAGAAAGCGATAGTAACATGTGTTTGCTTGTCCGGTGAAAAACAAGGTGGCCGTGAGGCGCATTATGTACCAAATTTTAGCGATTCTAAATTGGCCTGAAAATGCGTCGAATAATTTGCGATTCGATTCGATTTCGAATATTTGGTTCGCTTGGACAGCCCTAATGGTTATTATTAACATAACTTACTGCAAAATTGCATCAAAGTCTACCTGTACAATGATTTGCTTCTGTCAGTTCATATTTCGCCTAATTGAATGATATTTATCTTTTTGGAATAGGAAATAATGATACATATAGGGATGGGCAATATAGAATCCCAAAGTATTCGAATCCAACAGGATCCGATAACAGGATTCGGTTTCCGCCTCTCCGGCGCTATGCGTCAATTTTTGCATTCCGGGTTTCTAATTTATCAATTAAAGACGAGCGTTCTTTCTCGCGTGGAAATTTCTCTCATTTAATTAAACTTGCCTAATCGCAAAGAACCCGTAAAATTGGTAACATCAAACACTGTCATCTGAATCGGCGTATTCTGGACAGAAAGTCGGCGAAGTACATTTCATGGCGAAGACTCGTTATTGCATCATTTTTTGCGTTTTCCTGCTTTGCTATCTAGCTAGGGTTTAATAATAATAATTATTTGTGCCGACTTACTGGCGATATCCCGATAATCTGATTGCAACAATCTTCAATTGTTTACAGGCGTGGGTGCCTTGCTTCATTTTACATTACTGTAAATGATTTTCCGCGACCGGCGAGTTTCCCCCAGAAAATGATGCATGTAAACCAAAAGCCAGGCGTGGAATGTTATGATATTACTTGCGATTAACTTTAATCAAATATTATTTAGGAATAATTTCATTACTTTTATTACACCAGTTTCCGAAATACAAAGTTATATCGCAAACAACGACGATTTGTCGCATTTAAATTTCACTCTCATTTCACTCAGACATTTCCAAATAAATAATACATTTATAATTTTTTGACATCTAAATCCAGCAATCAGGGAAATTCCCACTATTTGAATAAGTATGAAAATAGAATAGGATTCGGTATTCTGGATTCGATTTAACTATTCTAGAATATTCTGGAATAGTAAATTATTCTACATTGACCATCCCTAGATACATAATCATGTTAAGTATCTATGTTAAGTATCTGTTTTCACAGATTTAGACAAGGTGTAGGTAATATATTTTGGTACCGGTATTTATAATCTTGGCCTGTGACTTGCTTAGTTAATATTCATTTTCAAATTCTAGGTATATCGGGATAAGTATCTGGTAGATAGTATAAAATTACGAGAGCCAGCTCAAGCATTGTTTTTTGGAAAATATGGGCGAGAAGACAGCACGCTCATAGTTATTCTCAGATCTGGAGCTATGAATCTGTTAATTATGAAACGAACTGCAGTGTATAATGATAAGGATACACACAAAGGGCCTCCTGCTGCTCAAAGCATAAAGTTAGTGTGCTTAAGGCATAAACTCTATTTACTTGTGATACTTTAATATTGACTAATATTTAGCAAATCAGTTTGAACAAAAAGTAATATTAATTCCAATATTTGGCCATATGCCACTCCAAACAATTTTACTCTATTATACATGATATACCACCATTGATGATTCACTAGTTAACTGCAATAGTAGGGACTGCCTATCGGTGATGAGGCTTTCATTGAACTTCCTTTTACTCACAAAGTTATGCCTACATGCCATGGGAAACAGTATTGTTCAATAAATTATTCAACTGTCCCTTGTGTGTTTGTGTTGCGAGTCTCAAAGTCTGAAATTTTCTCACTTTTATTTTGATGTAGCAGCTGTATATAAATCATTTGCTCACTCACTCCATGGCCTCATCTTCCCTATTCATTAGTTATGGGAGAAATAAGTTATTCTTAGATAGCTGTCTAAAAGATTGGAACACAGAATCTGTTTCCTATACCCTTTGTTTAATATCCATATTGGTGAAAGGATAGACAAGTATGTATTGATATGATTACTGACGGAAACCCTAACAAGTAATTAGATGAATACTTCAAAAATATTAAAATTTACTGTTGTATTTGATGCATTATTTAGTCCTTCAGTGTCAAGCATGAGCATTTTATTGTGTTGTAGACTGAACATATCGAAGAAGACTCAAATTTTTGTTGATCAAACTGTGCGTGAACGAGAAAATGGAATTGAGATGTTTCAGTCCTGTCAGAACGATGTTAAAAGATTTAAACTCAACACAGCAGCAACTTACTTGAAGGCGTTGGATTCAAGTACAACTCCGTTATCAACAGACCCTGATGTACCATTGAAGGTAAAAAGGAATACGGTACTTGTTGAATTCACTTTTGTATTGTGTTGTTATATTTTTCTAACGCTTCATTCGAATAATAAAATCGATCATTTTCAGCTTAAATTTTTCTTAATTCTATTTCCAATATTATTAATTGAAAGTTCAAAGTTAAATTGTGGAATTTGAAACTCTTATCTCATACCGTAGTTTTGCGTCCTGCTTTTGTGAAACTGCATTTGGGCCCTAACCTGGTGCACATACTACGTTCCGGTGTAGTTGCTTGTTTGAACTCTCTTTGGTGTTTTGGTATTTTTGTTCAAGATGGCCAAAGTATTGCATGATTCTAGGCAAATACAAGATATTTTGTGTTTTATTCGATGCAAAAACATTAACGTAGGAAATGGATTCCAACGAAATTATTAACGAGCATGGTTTAAATTAATAATATATTTTCACACCCAAAATAAAAGTTCTTGGTTTTTTTATATTTGGCAATTCAAAAAATGATTCAATTTTTTATGGCGAATATAAAATCTTACTAAAACTCTTTGGTTACTTAGTTTATTGTTTACTTAGACATGCAATCTATTTTAGATCTCCGCAACAGTTCAAGGATTAGGACCAGTGTTTAAGCTACTCATAACCCTTCAGAATAGTAATGCAAACTACAGTGTATCCGATCCTAAACTAGCTACTGATTTGAAGGTGAGTTGACCAGAAATTTGATCGTATTTTCAATCTGGTTATAAATGTTCTCATTTGCTAAGTTTAGTGAGCAAGAATTTTGTTATCATGCGATTGGTTTCCCATATTATTTAGCTGTTTTTCATCATTTATCTTTTTGCTCTCGTTTATAGTAAATATGAAATCTTCAGTATTGAAGGCAAGCTCTGACACGCTATTACTATAACAATAACATGTAACAATAAATTTTCAGTTGTGCTTCAAGTATTCGGACTTGACCTATAAAATATCTCCTCAGCTTTTGCAAGTTCCTGCTTTAGTGCCTGGTGTTTCGTATAGACTGGAGGCGAGAGTTGAATGTATTATAAGCAACCGACCAGCAAAAGAAGAGATCAGGGCGCTTATTCTCAAAAATGGAATGACAAGACCGATTGTTACTGCCAATATTTTCATGCCTGCATCAGAAGCAACTGTCGTAGTTTAGTCCACTGATCAACCTTACAAATTGTCCAGGTTGTAGTATCGTTGTTAAAGTGTGTAATGGGCTGAATTGACTTTGTGTACTGGAGACCAGCATTGCGGTTGTCTGTGATGTGCACTTAACAGTGTAAAATATTTCATCACATGTCCACTAGGGGCAGTAAAGATTAAAAATTATTGCCCATTATTTAGCTTTTTGTATTATTGTTATACTACACTGCTTGAAAATATATTTTTATATGGATGTGTATCTTAATTAAATCCCAGTTATAGTATGAACTTGATCGCTTAATCATAGGGCGAACCACTGCCTCTCGTCCAGTTGTCGGTCTAAGTCTGTTATGGGATGAGTTGGCCAGTTTTTTGTTTTCGGAAACACGGACTTTCGCCGATACCGTCGAAAAAGTGCTTATACAAATTGCCAATAATATGTAGTTTTCACCAACGTATAATATATATACGTCCCGCTTTAGGCGGGTCAGTCCCGCTTTTCAGCGTTTTGTCCCGCCGTCCCGATAAGTCAGCCAAAAGTCCCGCTTTTCCAGCAAAATACACAAACATGTTCTCGTTACTGTTGTTTCTGTGTAGCGCAGCGCTAGTCTACTTACTGAAGGCGAATGCGTTCGTTTCCCGCTGGTTCCCATTGATGGCAGACGTATCGCATGTAAAACCAATACTAATTAGTCTAAATTCGAATTATTTGTACCGGTATCGTTAACGTCAATTCCTTCCTATTTCTCGAACTGAACCCGATATTTGGACAGAATATGCGCATGAAATTTCGATAACAATATGGTCAATAAAGACAGCCGATACAGCTTTAAATGTAGGAATGTAGGCCTATGTAGTAAAATTGGAAAATGTGAAGTTACAAAATCACAGCTAAGGGGTCGTTGTCTTTCGAGGCGTCCCGATTTGAAGTCACAAAAAATATGGTAACCCTAAATATACATAATGTTTCAAATTTAGCGTACATGACGGATTTGATAAAATATTTGGTTGTAAACAGTATTTACAGCGAACTTTACCTCAATTTGAAGAACCGATATCTCAGAGCAATGAAATCAGTATTTGTGATTCAGATGCACAAACGTAGGGTTTATTTAAGTGCTTGAATTAATTGCATCGTAAATTGACTCTGGATCTTTGTACTCCTGGATAGGCGTCGACAGTTCATTAAATAGATAATGCAGGTGCTTTGCAGACGTTTCTTCGTGCACAGGGGCTGCTTCATTAGAAAACCCATATGGGACAGCTGCTATACCTAATACACGCGATGGGCTACGTGGAATTAAAATGGGAAAAAACGTGTACAAGATCTTATTAACTGCATTTCATTAGGCTTCAATTTGTTGTCGTTTTGTTTTTGACCGTGTGAAACGCTTTGGGATTATGAATGAAATACAACTTGCAATAATGATCACTTTTTTTGAGGGGACGATATTGTATATGTGCGCGAATTTACGAATCGCTTTCGAAACGGAAAGAACGGTCAACGGATAAACCTGAAAAGTGTGATAACTCGGCCAAGACACCGCCGGGCGTTCAATAACATACTTGTAAAACACTTATTTTTAGGTGAGTTGCCTAATAAATAGGATTGCCATATTTTTTTTACTTCAAAGCGGGACGCCTCCAAAGACACGACCCCCTAGCTATGATCCTGTAACTTTACAATTTCCGACTTCACTACATATCGGGTTCAGTTCGAAAATTAGAAAGAAATATACGCTAACGATACAAATGATCCGAATTTAGATTTTTTATGTACCGCAAAGGGAATAAAGAATATTGAAATTGTTTGCCGTTTTCAGGCATAGAGAATTTACTCGTTCGCCCATGCAAGCTTTTCTGTAGATAACACCTTCAAAAAGACGTTGTTCAATGTTAAATTCACGTGAACATCCGAACAGGACCAATTTGAATTGATTTTACATATGATACGTTTTCTAACAATGTTAGCGAGAAACAAACAAATTAACGCATTCACCCTCAGTAAGTAGGCTAGCGTTGCGCTACACAGCAACAACAGTAACGATAGGTTCCATTACATTTGAACCCACGTACATTTGAACCCATGACAATTGCACCTGTATGCTATTGCACCTATGGAATTTTTTTTGTTTCACGGATAGTTAAACCCATACTAACCCTAACCCATGGGTTTTAGCACCCGCATTAAGATTGAACCCATGGATATACGCATGGGTTCAAATGTACATGGGTTCAAATGTACGGTCACCGTAACGATAACATGTTCGTGTGGATGGCTGAACGCCAACTTGACTTTTGGCTGACTTGTCGGGACGGTGGGATATGCTAAAAAGCGGGACTGTCCCGCCTAAACGAGGACGTATGATATGCCTACTAATAAAGCAATGTTTCAGGCTATGGGCCACGGCGTCCCATTAGTTATATAAGCCGTGTTGGTGGCCACCGCAATGCCAGAAAATATTTAGGCAAATGTTTAAAGAATTGTGCCGGATGTCATACCAGGGTGTACCTTGAATCGTAAAATGAAAAACAGAATTTCAAAATCTTGTTATATTTTCATATTTACAATATTTATCGTGGATTGATGGTACTTGAAGACTTCTTGTTCTGAGGAATTCGTTTTTGTGCGATTTTGTCTCCTGTGACAGATTGGATACCCATACTAATTAGTTTCGGCCTTCTTGTCTGTCCAGATTTTGAACATCGTGCTCTTGTTTCATTTCATATGATATTGCTTAGGTGGGTATGTTTTTCGGTAAGATATGTCGAGGAATCGACATGTCAAAACCAGGATTTGTATGGAGTATAAAAAGAAATTTTGCAGGATTTATATTCTATAAAAAAACCTTGTTGTCAAGGGCATAACCAGTGGCGGCGCGCGGTCATTTTGACAACCGGGGCAAGCTACTGCGGGACCAAGTCACCCCCATCTACGGGGACAGGATGAGCGCTGTAAGTTCTCCCATCATTTTATGAGTATAAAAACCATTCCATCGGTAACAACCAATCGGCAAAAGCGACAATTTTTAACGATAAGAAATTGTCTTTAAAACCGGTCTAAGTCAAGGGATTAATAAATATAGACATAGTTTATTTTGAAACCTCTTTCAAAAGGAAAGGCAATATTTACCCAGATAAATACAATGACATATTAACAGAAACTTCGGGAAAGCAGACAAAACCTAAAATAAGGTTTAAAACGTTACTATGAAGAAAGGAAAGGTAATGCAAAGATAAGGACATGCGTCGCTCACTCATAGATATATATGCTGCTAGACTTCTACTGCTTGAACATATATGCAACACGCCGCGGTTTCTTGGAAGCAAAATGCTCAATAACGCGCTGACCAGAAATAACGTCTCTGTGAATGGATAAAACAGCCGAGGAATTTAATCTATCTTGCTTCATTGTGTTTCTGAGATACGTTTTAATACGCTTCAGCGTGCTGAATGTTCGCTCTGCGTCGGCGGAAGAAATAGGCGTCGTCAAAATGATGTCCAGAAATTTTGCAGACGCCGCAAAGGTAGTTACTAGAGTGTTATCTATGAGGAACCCATAGAGCGCGCAAGTTGATGTGATGTACAAAAAAGTTTGATTGGTGTATATACATCGTAATTCATTTTCCAATTTACCCACGTTTATCATGGGGTAAAATTTGGAGACAGTAGCCAACAAATGGATGGGAAATTGACGTGCAAATTTTGAAAAAGTTTTGGGGTTCATCAAAGAGAACGCGGCAAGGTGTTCAGTGCGCAGACGATCGCCTATTTGATTCACCAGAATGTCACAGCATTCCTTTGCAGACAAAATCAAACGCTGCGTTGTTTGCCCGCGGCGTAAAGAAGCACTCCATGTGTCGTCGTATTTTATTGTTTCCCGGATACGAGATACAGCATCGCAGAAGTCTGAAATACATGACTTCACAGACGCTTGACTGCAATGCGCCGTATAATACACCCACGTGATAGAATATTGTGGAGAAAAAACTCACCATCTTCTAGCAGACGCTTTAGACCTGCCGCCTCCCTCACAGAGCGTTCGTCCCAAACCGGAGAGCTCTGAATGCCATTGAAACACTCAATGAGCTCAGACCTAATTTCGGACACGCCCTGCACCACGCGTGATTGGAAGTTCCAACGTGTTGGTGCACAAGCTGTGAGACGGCGGCTACATATCTGGCGAAGGAGGTCAGAGCGCTTCGGCGAAACGAAAAAAAATGAAGAAAACCCCGAAACATTTGCAAAAAATATACGGACGAGAGTGGTATCAAGACACATATTTTTAATAACGAGGTTAAATTGGTGTGCATACCAATGTAAAAAATGCGCATGAGGAAAATCTTCTTTTATATAAACTTGAACACCATGTTTCGACCCACTCATGACTGCCGCGCCGTCATAAGTTTGAGCTATCAATTTTGACTTCGCGTTGTAAGGCTGTAACACTTCTTTCAGTACAGCCGATATCCCGCAAGCCGTGCGATCAACGATTGGTACAAAGCTGTGAAATCTCTCGGTAGGTTTACCATCTTTCATAAACCGAAAAATCACAGCCAGTTGGGAAACGCACGTGAGGTCAGTTGTCTCGTCAGACTGAGTCGAAAGGAACTGGCAATTCTCAATTTCCAGAGCCAAATGTTGTAAATAAATTTTATACATTGAGTCGAGCAAATCATTTTGGATATCCTTAGATGTCCCTTTCGAAACAGTTGCGGCATCAAGATGATCTCTCAATACTGTATCTAGGGATGCGGTGTATTCCACCATATCCAAAAATACCCCTCTATTAGAAGAGCCAGCCCGTTTATCGTGCCCACGGAGGGACAGCTCGTGACAACCAATGAACTTCAAAATATCTATCAATCGACCGAGAACATGGCGGTTTTTCTCGACGTTTTGGTTGTGCCGACGAATAGATACCGCGCGTCCTTCATCCAACTGTGCTGCAATATTAACATTTCCGAATGTTCGGTATTTTACTGCATTGTCCAGATGCTCCATAGAAGATTGATGATCCCTGCCACGCTCGGAAAGATGTTTAAGATCTCTAAAACCAAATTTGAGTCACGGGCGGTAGCAAAAAGTAGGCAATAAAAACAAAAAAAGTGCATTTTTGTCCTCGCTGTAACACAACCATTCGTGTTTTTTATACCAAGTTTCTGCGCAGAATGTACGCCGACGCTTTCCTCCGTCATGGGATTGTTCCAGTGAACAATTTTTTGGTTGATAAGGCCCAAGACGTTGTACCTCTAATTTTTGTTCCAGCGGCAGCTGCGAAAAC